TGTTGCTTTTCTTCTTTTCTCTCTCCTCTATCCACTCACCCCAACCAGTCGAGGCAGAAGGCCGCCCACCAAGAGCCGGGGTCTCTCTGAGGTTTCTTCCGTTAAAGGGAGTTTTTCCTCCCCACTGTCGCCAAGTGCTTGCTCAAGGGGGATTTGTTGGGTTTTCCCTATGTAATAATAGTGATAACAGTAAGGTCTAGACCTTACTTTGTAAAGTGTCCAACTTTTGTTGTGATTTGGCGCTATACAAATAAAATTTGATTTGATTTGATTGCACTTAGCCAAGGTGACTTGTTTATTTATTACCTTTAAGCACCTAATGTTTGTATATGAAAGTGTAAAACCATTAAAATCACAGGCATAGTCTTCAAATTACACTCCCCTCATATTAAGTGTTAGTGCTTATTGCAGCTGTGATACCCTGGTTCTTTTATTGGACAGATCTGAATAAAGAAGGAGACCGTCTTTCTTCATTTTAGTGCTGATTTATTTAAACCACAAGCAAAGTTACAAAACACAACCCGGGTGACTCCGTCCTCCAGACATCCACAGGCTGCACGAAAAAAAAAAAAAAAAGAGCCCGGAAGCACCGAGCCCAAAACATTTTAAATAAGTTTTGGGCTAACCTCTCACACAGATGAGGTCAGTCCACAGATTCCATCTCTTATCTAGAGCTCCAGCTGCATGGAGCCACTGGCCATGACAAAATGATAACATGGTGCGTAACTAAAACATTCATTCAGACATAATTCTAACACAGGATGAATACAAGAAAACAATTGGTGTCAAGGTACACTTTTCAGAATCAACATTCTAACTGTCAACCTTGAAACAGAGCAGACTAAAGCAGACTTTAATCCTTACTAAATTGCATTACTAATACATTTGTCTAACAATGTCTAATTATCTGACTGATTTATTAATATCTAACACAGCATACTGCAGCCCTGGTTTGCAAGCACCTGTTATGTCTACACATTACCCAGGTAGTATTTGCAGCAGAATTTGTAATTCATCACTATTACTGCACATTGTACAAAAATACTGAGGCAATAGTGGAAATAAAAAAGGAAAAACATTACTTACTTAGTTAAGTGGGAGCATTTAAAGAAGTTATGGTTTAATGTTTCCCGTATTATATGCTTTCCACCATTACAGTAGATTACTGTTTGGTCTTCAGTAGAAACAAACTTAGATGCAGAACAGGGAAAGTAAACTGTGTTAGGTATTTTTAGTCAGATAGATATTGGTTAGATACTTGATGTATTAGAAATGTTTAGTGTAGACAGGATGCCTAGCTCAGGCTGTTAAATGTTTAGTCATTCTCATGAGTTGCTGCAGGTTGCTTATGGTCAAGGATAACCAGATAGAAATTTGATGACTGTTAGAAGACAGGATGTTTAATATTATTATTATGACGTGTATAACTGTAGCCATAATATTTTCTTATGTTTAATGTCATGGCATGTCACTAGAGGTCGTGTTAGAATGTTTTTAGCTACACACCACATAATCAACAGACAATCACAAATTGATTTTCTTCTTTTGACTACTGCTCCCATGGTCAACTGCAAAGCTGGCACCGGGAGACGTCACGGTTTGGCGTTCCTGTTAGTATGGGGCTAGCCCAACCTAAGTGATAAATGTATAGGCCTGTTGGGTTCAGAGGTCTTTCATTCTTCAGCTGCCTGCGTGCATGTTGGAGGTGCAAGATACCTGAGCGTGTAATGTTAATTTTTACCCGTGTTCATTGAATAAATCAGCACTGTTTTGAAGTTACTTGGACTGCTTCGTCTCTCAGAGTTAGCATGGTTAAAAGTACCGGATACAACAACTGATACAGTGAATTACAACCTCAGTTATTATTTAATCTCGTACGAATGTCAGATTATGCTGTTACTGTAAAGTCGGACTTTAT